TTTTTTTTGGAGAGATTTTCACTGTAGGGCGCGTGCGCTCGCCAGACAGACAGAGAGAGACATAGAGACAGAAAGCGAGAAATCACCCCCCAGGGGGGATGGTCACGCCGCAATCCCTTCTCCTCCATTCTCCTCTCGGTATCTTGGGCACGCACGCACACGCGCCCGGCGTGAGTTTTAAGCCACCGGGTCCAGGACACGAACCGCGGTCGACTACGTGGGAGTCCAGCGACATAGCCATTATGCTAACTGCTGGTTCCCAAGAAGCTGTTTCTTTAAAATACAAACCACCACCAAAAATGTCCATGTACAAACATATTGTTTAAGCATTTGGCTATTTTTGTTTTTTTAAAAGGTATAAACACCAAAAAGAAAACATTGTATGAAAATGAAAACAAGATGTACTTTCTGTAACTTTGTATAAGTATTTTAAGTTACTAACTTGCAAAATCCAATTTGAACTTAATTTACTACAGGATTTATTATTAGTACATTTATATGACTTATTTTACATATACATGTATTGACCAGTGGCCTCTCAAAAGCACACTTTAGGCACTGAAAATGGAAAGAAAATGCATCTTCAAACATTTTATGGAATCTCTCACCACATATACTTGTTAGATTTGTGTACTGTACTTGTGTATTGTATTTTTCCATTGTACATGAATTTTCTTTTTAATGTGACAGGTACATGCATCTCTGAAAGCACCCAGGAGCCTAAGGAAATGGAAGACATGGAAAAGGGGATCACAGCATGATAAGACCTTGTCAACGGTGTTTTACACATGCGCTCACTCTCTCTCTCCCTCCCCCTCAGGTGCATGTACACATGCTCTGTATCATAAAGAGTTTTAAAAATCTATAAGCACCTTTAAGACAGTGGGATCGGCTACTGTTTATTCCTCTTCAACTGTGCTAGACCTAACTGGAAAGGGCTTGACCAACCATGATATGGATCTTACCTACCTTATTTCCTTAAGTAATTAAAACAAAGTTTTAAGGTCCTTACAAAGAAATAATTAATGAATACATATGGAAAAAACGGTTATCATAAAGTACTATCACTACTCAAGCTAACAATTTGTGCCAATATCATGTCATAGCACTTCAAATAGCTACTGAGAAAAAACTAAGTGTATACTGGCAAGTAGTTTGCATGGGGAATAGAGGCTGATTTTATTATTATTTATTTAATTAAATAGAAATTTTCTTTAAAATAGATGTCTGCATGACGCTTTTAAATTTATGGATTTTTTAAAAATCATAAGTACTCCTAGTTGTGCTGCAACCATAAGTTTTAAATGATCATTTCTCTTCATGGCACAATTATCTACCTTGCTGTACACGTGAAAAACAATCACACTATTTTCATTTGGATTTTAACCTTCTTCTGTCTATCCCCACTTTACTGCTATTCCTCTTCATAGGTTTAT